CTTTCATTGTGTAATGCTTTGTTTTGTCAGACAATCGACACCATAGTTCGTCTAAGTGCACACCAGTACAGAAATTCACACATCGATATTAATGATGTTGTATATCTAAAATATGCTAATGCATTTTTCATTGTTTTGGGGCGAACATCAAACTCCCAACGACAATCGTGATCAAGTATCTTAGCAACCAATGTGAACAGTGATAAGCAATGTCTGTTCAGAGACTTTTATGCTATAAATAATCACATGATTACAGTGAATGCATCATACATGATATAATGTTAATTCCTTAGAACGTCAAAGAACATCTAAGAAGGCAGTTTCATGGGAATGTATTATCATGTACCATGATACCAGAGATCATTGGTGCCTTGCCATTGCAATGCATTACACTCACGCACTGTCAGTTGAAGTCATTTAAAAAGGTATATAGTTAACGGCCGTGTTGATGGTTAGCTCGATTTTCTCTATCACAAAGCTACAGTATAGCAATGAATGTAACCGAGATCTCGAGATATCACATTCCTTGATTTCGCTACCAAAAGTAATGACAAAGAATAGGAATTAGATATCTAAAGGATGAATAGGATTTAAAATAATACAAAAATACCAAGATCTTACCACAAACGTAGACAAAATCATTATAACATGTTTCGGGAAATTACATGGCGTTTCGGAAAATGTTTTGCTATTCGCTCGACTTCCGTTGTATCCTTTTATTCTGTTTTGTTTTTCTTCATTTCTTCATTTGTTTCAAGATGTTATCCTCTTCAGACTAGTGTTTTCATGACGCCTTAGAGAATCTTGGCTCAATTCAATCTAGCCCCTTCTCTGCCGTACATGGTAACGAATGGGAAATACATGTAATTAGTCAGGAAATAGGGGTAACTATCCCCTACGCAGAATATTACAGATTGCTAGCAACACTTAAGACCAAAGTTCAAAACAGATCTTTCACACTTTTGAAAAATTAAATAAAATCAATTAACGCCATCAAGATGAAGCAATTGGGAAAGTAAATTATAGGATGCTGCCATATTTGAACAAACAGCAGACAATCTGTGGGGATGGTACAAATGACACTCAAGTTAACACCACTCAATAGGATTTAAGAATAAGGAAGAGCTAACAAATTAATAAATCTGCATTCTACAACTGTTTCGTCAAGGTTTAATGCCTATCATCTTATTTGAGCTACAGTATGGATAATTGATCTGTATAAATGATCTTGTATTGGTTGCCCATTACGTCTGAATGGAATTGGAGTTTAAAACAAAATTTTAACGTTACTTGGTTTGTGTCAGTATGGTGACAATACTCAAACAGGAGCACGAAATTCTTGTTCATTTGCTAAAACTTCAAAGGGAGAATGATAACATTTTTAAAAATTATGTTTATTGAGGAATGTTGTATAGCGCTGTTTTTAAATGTAAGTTTATCAACCGAAGCTCTACAGAATGCTTTAACATCACATATTTTGTTTTACGACTTTTGCAAACATTACCAGCTTATCTTTGTTAGCATTCAACTATATGACTTTCACTTTTAGAATTTGTATCAATTTCAGTGTCTCTATTATGCATATATATTCATGTTAACCAGAAAAATGCATAGTTCTTTGCTAACGCGGCTTTAAAACAATGTTACAAATAACTACTTGAACCATGAATGGTTATGTCAATGAACCAAAGACGAAAATTGTGCAGGAGTACCTATTCTGTTGTTAAGTGTTGTTAAGTGATTGAAAATATGAGCCATGAATACAATTATAGATGAAAATGAAACTACCTCTGTGATACAGTAACGTTAAGGTCAGAATCAATAATTGATTCGGAAGTTTCCACAAAATCAACAAAAGTAAATAGTATCTTTCGATAAATCAATTAGTACGTATACCAGCTCGGAATAATAAATCAACATGCTGTTAATGTGTCTGTTTACACTTTCCTACATTTTCTAGATCTTGAATATTTACACGATGTCTAAAAATTCCCGAGTTTGATTCGTTGAGTACCAAATGTGTAAAATGATATAATGATGTTCGATATAATAAAACCGATAAAAACAAAGTGTTCTGATAAAACACGTTACAAAATATTGTAAATGAGATATCCTGTAAAATAAGCAATATGATAGCATCTTTCATACAAATTAAAAATTTTATACGATAAAGTCAAATAATGAATTAAAATGCATCAGCAAGCTTCTTTAATCTCCTAGACATCTACATCAAAGGGCTAAATCTTTGAAGCCTAGGAGGCGACTGAGGAAAATCAAGGGCGATCAACAAAAATGTCAAAAATCTAGATAGCCGAATAATTAAATACATTTCCTAATATTTATTATCTGAACATTTCTTAAGAACACCATGTACATGTGTATATTTTGAATAGTGCCGCTATATCAATGAATTTAAAATACAACATGTAGATATAGACAAATACACCCAAATGAATATAAAAGCAATCCATCAAAGAAACATTCACTTCTATGATGAGAACATTGTTTACAACAATTTCTCTCTATATCTTATTTTATTCTGAATTAAGATATAAACCACTCATTAAACACTGTCAGTACGTCAAGTTTTGCTTCTCAACAACCTATGATGTTTATCATTAATACAAGGACGCATTCTGTAGTCTGTTGCTATGAAGCTCCAGCGAAAGGATACAAAGCAACAACGCATTTTCTTCTGGGTGGTAACGTGTATTGAATATATATTCCTGTTAGAAAATTACATATGACGTTTCAATGACTGTATTGTCTCCTTCGGCGGACAAAATTCCAGTTTAAAGCATATTTGAAAGAACCGTTGTCAAATTGATAGCGTGCTTGCAGACATAACCTCCATTACACCAGCCTAACTGCTTCAAACGGTCTTTAAACAAACACTTCTGTGACTAAACATTATTTCTATCTTATCTCCTTTTCTCTTGGCCTAGCGTCCACTATCATGTGACATGATCTTCAAATTGGTGAAGGTAGGCATTGCTTTGTACGAAATGGTAACAAAATAATAGAATCTATCGGTTATGAAAAAATCTTATAAAGCTGAAACGGCAAGACGGAGAAACAATAAATGTTTGTTGAATTGGTGATATTGCATAAGTACATAAGGTGAAAACCATGTGCTTTTCTACGAAAATCGATGATTTTTTAACCAAGTCAAAGATGTGCGCAATTTATGTGTCCATTGTCCGTGTTTAGAACTGGTCCTCTGCAGTGTGTCCAGAAGGCTTCCATGACTTGCTGCTAGAAATTTTCTCTTTTCACGCCCAGTCAGGATATCATGGCGCCATGGATGCGATTTTGTTCTTGTTTTTTTTATCCAATTGTTTCATAGCAATCGTTTCTAATGTCTATGGTACGTGCAGCACCCAAATTCTGTTTAAGGGATGGTGAGATTGGAAATTTAGGAATCGGTCTGTGCGTGTCTTTAAGCTATTTATTGTTACTTTGACCGTGCCGTTATGTTTCTTAGCAAGAAGATTGTCAAGAAAGGGCATAACCGCGTAGATTTATTTCTACATGTGACTGTGATATTGTAGTTGGTAGTAATTGATTGGATGTGTACTGTCATTTTTTTTGTCCCTTTCGTGACACTCTCCTATATGTGGTCAACATATCATTTCCAAGGGTTAGTCTTGTCCTGTCAGGCAAATGAAGGGGGCGGATGGCATGTTGCTTAAAAGCGAGACAACGTAGAATGAAACGAAATTCCCATCTTTTTTTAAATTTCGGACTGAGAGCATAGGTTCTGCCAGATCTTTAGAGTTTTTGATTTGATACTCTGACCTCCCCACAAGGTGTCTTACAAAACGGCTTTAAAAATAGCAAAATACGTAATATCAATGATACTGCAACAGCAAAGAAAGACGCGTATAAAGGAAGAAGGTTTCTTGGTGAGGTCACGGTGGCCGATAATGCATTATCATCGTCAGATATAAATGTAACGCTGTCTGGCTATTAGGAGAAGTTAAGGACTCTTTACGTGTCCATTAAGAGTTATTGTTCAGTGATCAATATTAAAATACCTATCGGAGAAAGGAATATCACTGTTCTTTAGTTCTTAATTAATAATAGTTTCACTTAATCATAAGTAGGATAATGGGGAGAACATTCATAACTGCCTTCTAGATTACACATCCGCCAATCAGGCTAAAAATAGAATTACTACACTATAAATATAAACTTAGTGGAAGTGTGTGATATTATTTACATAGTTAGAATAACATTCTACGACGTTATTAAAGCGTTAGACTGAGTATGACATTTAATGATATTTAAACTTGAGCAAAAGCCAAAGCTTGTAAAGGAGACTGTCAACATTGGGACATAAAATGTGACAGTCTTTGACAGTCGATTGATTCATTTTCAGGTTGTAATATAAATTTGTTATGTCAGCTTTACATTCTTAATCCTATTGTATTGTTCTATTGGTAGAAATTTATTGTTTATTAATTGGTTTCAGATGGTTTCGTTTTCATTTTATTGGTCAATCTATTTAAATCATATGCCAACAAGAATGTTTGCTTGCATTACTAAGAAATGACAAATGTTCGTGTAAGTGAGGCCAGCTAATCGCAAAGATTACGTTTACAAACGATGAAAATAAAGAAATCGATGAAAATTTCCTTTTTTGGCTATTAAAAACACACCCCACTGAAACTCTGTCTTAAATGGTACCGATACGCCTACAGAAACGATATCCGTATCACACGAGTTTGTAAACAACACAACATTGCTGGCTTGAGATCGATGAATAAATGCTTATTCTTGGCTGTGTGTGTACAAAAGTTAGATGCTGAAAATAATGTTGTCCTTATTATATCACTCACGGAATCTGTGAATTAATTGATTATGAAGCCAGTCGTTTCAAACAGACATTTCAGTCCTTCAGATTGGCAAATGTAGAACTTAAGTGTTATCGTAAAAAACAAAGTTTCGTCTCATTATCAACATCAACCAACTTATTTATAACTTTGTGTTTTTGACAGGTTATTTGAAAGTAATGAAGGCCTGAAAAAGCTGTTCTATAAGCTAATGAAATCAGACAACCCTGACAAGATGGAGTTTGACCAGGAGAAGCTGACGCGCCATGCCACCATTGTGATGCAGGGACTGGGCGCTGCGGTAGAGAGTCTAGAAGACTCGGTTTTCCTCACAAACGTACTCATTGCCATGGGCGAGCGTCATGCTACATATAACGTGAAGTCAGATATGGTTCCGGTAGGCAGCCAACTGTCCTTATAATGTTTTAATTATTAATCAACACATCTTTGTAGTGCAATAGATGATGATTAGGTAGTACACGCCATGGGCTTACAGGGATGTAATTACTTCTGACTTATGTAACATAGGACGATGTAAAACTTCTGTTGTAAAAGAAATCCCGTGCTAATAGGGTAGCAGCTCTGTCAATTTACCCAATCAAACGAGAAAAAAATCCATTCAGTTTATAAACATATCAGTTATTAAAATTCACAAACTATATGCATTAATTTCCCCTAATTCAAATGTTTTAACACCGCAGAAAGATAACAATTTTGTTGATATCGTGACGGCCAACTCTTTCCGTGTAAGCGTATTATAATCGAGTTATTCCTCTTTGGATGCATGCCAGATTTCGTTGGCCTCGCCCTTGTCGATAATAGTCTGTTCTTCTGTTGCAGCACCTTTGGCCGGCAATTCGGGATGCTTTTAAGGAGTTGATGGGAGAGGACTTTTCACCTGCTGTTGAAAGTGCTTGGTTGCATGTATTTGAATATATAGGCAGCAAATTCAAGATGGGAATCGTAGCGGGCAAAAAATGATCAGATCAACTATATGTGAATATTATATCAGAGAAGAAGTATATGTCGTGGTGTTATCAATTCTCCATAGGATATATGTAGTACTATTTCGCGTGTGTTGATTTCTGATGTAATAAATTGTTTTCAAAATATGGCAGTTAATGTATCTAAAAGAACAAAACGAAAAGAATAATATTGTATCGATTAAGCAGAGGTGAAAGGTTATAATTTCGAAAAAGCTTGACTGACAGGGCACTTTTTTCAGAAGCACTACGCATGGGCAATGCGCTTTGGAGAGCATAATGTACATATGATATATGTTATTTATTAAATTATTTGTGTAAAGGTGTCTTTTTGTCTTCATTTTTCGTCAAACGACTTTCGTTTAGACACATTTGTCTGCTAGTATAATATATACTGAATAAAAATTAAGCTGCACAACCGTATTATACAGCTGACTGTCATTAAGTGCATTTACAGATGAAATGTGTAAATAAGGAAAATTAATAGTTTATTACTCGGGACTCTCCTGTCAGCATGACGTACCGTCAAGTACAAATATGGTAAACAAACACGTCTTAATCACCTTGAAATAACATCGGAGTGATAGTATAACATTACCAAGGCCTGAGACAATTGTTAACGTATCAATGCCCTCCTTCTGAATGTCATGTTTGCTCGTTCCCAGTATCACAGAGAAATGCTCTCCTTCTGAATGTCATGTTTGCTCGTTCCCAGTATCACAGAGAAATGCTCTCCTTCTGAATGACATTTTTGCTCGTTCCCAGTATCACAGAGATATGCTCTCCTTCTGAATTACATTTTTGCTCGTTCCCAGTATCACTGAGAATGTCTGGAATAACGGAAAACAGGTGTACAATGCTTTTTAAAAAATAATTATGATAACTATTTTTTTTTACAAACTAACCGGTATGAATATCTATGTGTCAATGTGTTTACAATACCGCCATGTGTATTCCTGATGTTCATTGAAGACCAAGAAAAAATATACTTGAAACCGGTAAGCTCTGTTTTAGCCTATACTCTTTGGTACGAATACGACCTCATGTATTGTTTGTTTGGATTAGTTAAATATTTAGCATAAAAATGTGTTTACGATCATCTTGATATCTCTCCTACCCGGCCGATTGTAAAACTGGATGTAGTTTAGTTTTATGTAATGATCTATTATCAAAACCAGGGATTTCCATACTCACGCAATTTTTCCACTTTTTAAAAACATAACACACACACACACATATATATATATATATATATATATATATATATATATATATATATATAATAAAACCATCGACGTCACCCGCCATGTGTATCTTGTTCAATCCAAGTAAGTAATGCCAGGTTCTCAATGAGAAGGTGCACAACAACCAACAGGTAAGTTAATGAGTCCAGGTTCATATTGCATAACGAATTTCTAAATGAGATCACTATGACGTCTGTAAAACTTCCCATTAATTTTCATAAACCTGTAAATTATGAAACCCTGTGTTAATCATCGTTAGTAATTTTAAGAACTTTAAATGAAAAGTTAACTTACCGTTTATCAAAGGGTGATAACTCCAAATGCTGTGCATGAGCGTTTAGAAGCTTTACAATTCTAATTCCTTCAAAAGTGCATGTGCCCTGATAACGGTAGGGTTAACAAATATGGCGACTGGAAGATGCAGAGGGCATACTTAGATAACGTATCGTGAAACAGTAGTTATATAGTTGCCACTGTCATTATCTTAAAAAAAATATTTAAAATATCTTTTGTTAGTATTCAAAAATTGTACATGTTATATTTTTTTAAGTTGTTGATCATATTCCTTATGCTGTAAAAAACTAAGGATGGATGAGAGGAGTTCTTAAACAATGAAAATCATAATATTCAGACGAAAGTATTTTTATTTATAAATGAATGCCGAGACCATCACGTTGAATGAATTAAAATAGGAACCCATTATTACTGGTGACGTTGTCGTCTCCAATTTTGACGAACGTCTGTTACAAACACCATGCGTTGGTCGTTATGACATAATATTATTGACCTCTCAACGTCTCCAAATTTCGTAATAAAACTTTGCTTATTTGAATCACAAATATGCATTTTATTCCTGAACACAAACAGAAACGCCATTGTTCTTTTAAATTGATGGTTTTCATTTGTTTTGTATATATTTACGGATCGACAATTCAAGTCTAGTCTAATCTGAAATTCAAATTAATCTAAGCGAAATGCTGAAAACGGATTTTACGTTCGTCAAATTGATAGTTCTATCTTTAAAATAGAGTACCATGCAGCAAATTAAGTAGTGAAGTTGCCAATAGACCCAAATAAGAATATCTGTCAGAGCAAAAGCAATTCTTACGTGATAACCCTTCATCTTGGGCGTGAAGGTGATAATCTCGTTTCCTTTCTTCTTTATCTGGTAAAAGTCTAGAAATAGAATATATACAGTCAAGTGTTGTAGCCCATGTGCCCTTTGCCGCACGGTAAGTCAGATGTGGCAACGCACTTAGAAATATTAGGAAAGCCAACACTGATTTTTGTTACGAAAGTGTCTTACTATCTATTAAACAGGGTCCTGTGCAAATTAAATAAAATTTCGACTACTATACGCCTTATTTCATACACAACATTTTCTTGTCATATCATTTATGATTATATTTCGTTGTTTGCTATAAATAAGGTTTTGTTACATAAATCTACATTTGTCCATTTTATCGAGCCAGACTTTTTTAAATCTTCATGGTTAGAATCTGTCTTCCGGTTAAGATTATTTGGAATGAGGTATTGGCTATCAGCAAGAGGAATGTTCAGAACAGTGTGCCAGTTTCAGAAATGCCTAACGTGTCTATCTCATGGTGATGGAAAAAGTCTTGAAAAATTTAATTAATTTCGACTTACGTCATGCTAGTATTTTTTCCTTTTTGTGTCATATTGTGTGTGTGATCATAGCTTTCAAAAAATGCCTCCTTGGTAAGGAAAACCTGAAAGTAAGTGACGTCACTTCAATGTAACTGAATGATTATTTATTAGCAGATAAAATCCCTTATATAGTGTAAGAGCGATAACTCTGTTTAGATGGAAAGAATCTAGATTGTGAGTGAACCAGTATGCAACCTAAAATTTCTTATCGTCTATTTATGCTTTCTCACTAGTATCGATTTCATTGATAGAAGACAAACGGAAATATTAATAATTTGCTTGTTTGATAGTTTAAAGCTTGGCTTTACGCGAGCATCATGATTAAGATCCGAGAATCGGCCTGTACACCTGTTAGCTTGGTAATACAATTAGACACCGAAGAAAACGCATCCAAATCACATCATGGACATTCTATAATAATATCACGATAATACATCTTAACTGGCAGGTATTCGTCATCAGTTGATCTAGATGTGAGGACCAAAAACTGACTAGCTGGATCTAGGCAGCGGGGACATAAAATCTAATTTCTATTTACGATTTACATAAAGCTTGTTTCATTCTTAAAAGTCGAATATGTTAAATATATATGTTACAAAGTTTTATGATTTAAACATGTCGGTTTACGTCGCGTGACTTTTTCTCTCAACGTCATCCTGATTAATATATTGCTTTTCGAATCACGTGGCACTAGATTGATAATACAAAAATGTATTTGATGCTCGTTAGTGTATCTGTTTGTTACTTTGTTATTTATCTTGCTCTCCTTGGAGACCTGTCATAATTTTCTTGGATTGACCCAGAATTACATGGCGATAGTCGATGAATCAGAAGGCGCTAACCCTTCCGGAATAGCTGGTCTAATACTCCTTTTCCAAGAATCTATGTGTAAATTCTTCTTTTGTTCATGATTTGCCAAAGTATTACCGAATTTCTGTTGAGATTACGGCTGTGTTAACATTTATGTATTTTCTTTGTTATTTCAGTATTCAGAGCATATTCCGTGATTTCAATGATAAATATTTTTGGTCAGTTCTTTTAAACCCATATATATTATCATACAATATCTTTTTTTGTTTGTTTGTTTGGTAGAAAACTTTATGTACAGACTTATGAATATGATTAATCGTGGAGTAACTTGACCCCTCTCTATAAGGACGATTTGGATTCCTCGTACATGTACTTCCAGCAGCCGGCTACAGAGGAATCAAGAACCTGTTTTTTCGATGCAGGTTGTTAAATCCGTCAGTCGCCATGCTGAGATTGAGATGTTCCTCTCCACTTCATATAGTCACTACACATGCCGTTTTTCTTACTTTCACAACGAATTGAGAAAGTGCCATCAAATGGACAAAAAAAAACCCATCAAATTTAGGACAGCAAAATAAACGTAATCTGACAGCACACTAAGCAAAAATATCTATATAATAAAAGATTTATTTCTAGAGAAAAAAAATCTTCAGAATATTGATAAAAATCTGGCGACATGTCAAAAAAAGCATAGACAGAGAAAAGAGAGACAAAAATGTTTGTCCTGTTTGCTTGGGTAATGGTTGTGGTTTCGTCACCTAACAGATCGTTTGTGCGCCATAAAATGTTGATTAAGCCACTAGTGGTGATACGCGGGATTATACTCCGGCTACTGTGGTTTGTAATATTAAACATTAAATGTGTATTTTGGGGTTCTGCCCCTGTTATCTTAGGTAAGGGAAGTCAGAGAGGACAGGCTCCTGTGTTATATGATAGCATGATAAACTAGCTAGGTTTTCCATATTCGTAAAAACGTTTCTGATTTATGGTTTGTGAACTGACCTTGTAGTGTCGTTCTCTTATATAATGTCTGCGTGAGAAACCGATAGATGAATCTCTGGCGTGGCTTGATAGTCAAACAAAACAACAAAATGTTGAAGTATTTATAATACAATAACATATCCGAGTATTCATTTAATATGCAATGACAGTGACAATATGTTTATATATATATATAGAAGTTTTTATGTAGATACGAATGTATAAATCCAGAAGAGTGATATTTTTTTATTTAGTCTATGTGAATGGAAGACGTCCAAGCTGTTTTACCACAAAG